TTATAGGGCCAAAGATAATTTCTTTTGCCTGTAACATATCTTTGCAAAAAAGCCATATACCCATTTTGAATGGGTTTAGGGTACAACAAAACGATCGCTCACATTTACAAAAATGTATGTGTAGCCCAACCGGTTTATGTGTCAACAGATATATATACACACATACAAGTGCATGACTACATATATATATATTTATTTATTTATATTATTTATTTATTTTTGCACTTAAGTAAGTTGAATCTGGACACATTTAAGATAATTGAATATTCAAAATCAAAGAAGTAAGTGTATGTCCGTCGTTTTTATCAATGCCTTTTTTATGGCCAACAAATCCACTTTCGACGATTTTAAAACCTGTTTGAGATTTTGTATTACTTTCATACTCTGTACCCAATCAAAATGAGGTACACCGCAGAATGCAAACATGTATATTGTTTATAGGAACGACTATGTCTCCCTGGTAAAGGGAAATCACGTTCAAGGGTATTAAGTCTGCGGCGAGTCGAAGATATCCTTACTTTCGTCCGGGAGTGCCCCCGTAGGAGATACTATAAACTACGCGCCCTACCGTTACAATCATTTAAGATTTTTTCTATACATACAAAAATGCAGACATAAGCTTGATGCGCAGCGCACGCTACGGCTCATTAAGTAATAAATAGAAGCAAGGAAAAGTGACTCTGAGCTTTTATTGCCGTGTTCAAGTTTAAGCAAGGTATATTAGATTGGTCTGCAAATGCAAAATCGAACACAAGCAACAATAAATTACAAAACAACAACAATGCGCACGAAATCCCGTTTTGTTTTCGGTGTCTATCTTGATTACCTAGAAGTTCCAGCAAGATCTCGAGGACATAGGAAACTAAGTGCAAAGAAAGGGACAAATAATGCGCAGCGCGTAGAAACAACAACATCATTTGGGAAATAATGTTGTTGTTGCCGAGCCGAGTCCCGGTGCAAGAAGGTAGAAAATTTGAAAGCCAGAAAGTCTATAAAATCAAAGGACTACGCACACGGCGCGTCAACAACATAAATGATGACGTCATATTTTATAGAATTTTATATCTTGTGTTGTTTATCTTAAATTTGTACCTTTATTATGTATACTTAAATAGTTTATTATAGAATATAATTTATTTTAAATTAAATATTCTTTAATGTACTTATTTACTGTACGCAACGATCGCGCACAAAATGCCTTAAGCGGTGACGTCATGCGCAGAACAAAACGTTGCAATCTTCTTAAATTCGTAAACTTCTTCTTCTACTCGTCTTCACAGACACATGCATGTACATTTGCACCAAAAAGTGCGTGTGTGTGTTGACATGCCAAATATTTAGCGCGTCGAGGCATAGATACGCTTTTTTATAGTAATAGTTTATATACATACTTTAATATTATTATTTAATGAAAACAATTGTTGTTGAGTATTCCAATAGTTGCACACTAGATATTAAATTATAAATTTCTCTGACATCGCATAAAAACAGTTGTATGAGGTGTTTAGTCTTTGAATACATTACTGAGTAATGAGTTTGAGTACCCTCTTTTAAGGACCCTTTCTCCCGAAATACTTGCTTTGTTATCCAAGGGTAGCTTCGATTCTTGGGTGTTTTTCTTTATAATAGAAAATATGTACTAATGACTTAGAATTTTTATTACTCCACTCTTTCTGGGTGGAAAATAGGGGTCATCGACGAAATCCCAAGTGGAGACAGATTAGCTAAAAGTTGTTGATTGATTTTAAGAGCATTTTCAAATATTCGACCGGGCTTCTAAGGTAAAACTGGCGGATTTTTAATCTTTCTACGGGAGGGAAAAACAAGTAAATTGAAAAAAACTTGGAGTGGGCAAAGCCGGGTAGCATCCGCTGTTGGTAACATAGATATAAATATATATTTGCATACAAGTTTGAATTCAATTTATTTTCGTCAGTCGTAAGAATCGTACTATAAGTATATAATCGATCAGAAACCATGTGGACCAAAGATTTTTATGCATTTATCACACAGAGTGGGATCTAAAATCATTTTTTCGTAGTATATACAATATATAAATAAATGGCGTAGCTTAGGCACAAAAACATGTGCGAACCTTACATTGGTTGCAACCGAATGCGGAATACTCAATACTCAGGATGCTTCTTCTCGATTATTGGGCTACGGCTACCAAAACAACAATCCCAACGCAGTGAATTCCCAAAAGCCGGACGCAAATGCGGGACAATGGTTAAAACTCTAATTCCAACAACAAATGAATATATATATTCTATTTTAGAAGCTATATGTCAAGATTATTATTTACCGAAATTGCCCAAAAAACAGGATATCGATATCGATTTTTATCGATTGTTTATAAATGGAGTAAGTTATCGATTATCGGAAACAAACTCGATCTGCGCAGGCACTAGGAGCACCTACATCTAAAATTTCAAGTCTCTAGCTCTTATAGGTTCTGAGATCCTTGCGTTCATACATACGGACGGACGGACGGGCAGACAGACGGGCATGGCTAGATCGACTCGGCTATTGATGCTAATCAAGAATATATATATTTTATGGGGTCGGAGATGCTTCATTCTGCCTGTTACATACATTTGGATTTTGCACAAATACAATAAACCCTTATACCCATTTTTAATGGGTTCAGGGTATAAAAATTAAAAGAGGCCAAGGAATAATAAACACACCTGCTAATGTTCCTAATTTTAATATTCTTCCACGTTATGACTAACTGATTGGAAAGTTTTTAGAAAATGGTTGCATGAAATTGTTACCTAGTTAGAACGGATCATTTAAATTTTCCAGCTCCACACGATAGAAACTGCATTCTCGAAATATGGTGTTTATATTTAATCCAATTCATACGAACTTGCATATACCCATTTTCAATGGCTATATGGCTATGTGTATACCCTACACTAGCGACCCATAGTGGGCGTGTACAAAATATTTTCACACTATCGCTCACGAATTTTCAGGAATATTCATATTCCAGGCAAATCACTTTCATAGGGCCAGACAGACGGACATTTGGGGTAAATATAGAGTAAATTGTGCACTAAGTATAAGAAAACAAAAATAAGAGATTCTATCGGCTTGTTGCTACACGTATTTATTATTTCGGTTTTGTGGTTTCAGCGAGAGACGCTTTGGCTTTGGCTCTTCGCAATGAATGTGGATACCAATACCATAACCAACACCATTGCCATGCATACACACAAAAAATGTACGTATGCTGTATGTATGCACACATGCATACATATATGTATATGTATGTATGGTACGTCTACGGACGGTCGTATGAAAGTGGAAGCATGAGCATTGTCCATGCAACTTACACACACTAATCAATGTGTGTCTGCTGTGTGTGCAAATGTACTACAAAACTCACATAGTCGTTTTATATACAATCAACTTATGTGCATATGTACGTATGTAAATATGTACACATGCACATATGTTTATGTGTATATATATATATATTTTTAAGCACTCACACCTTGGGCTTGACGCCCATTGAATTTGTTTCGACTTTTGGTACACAAGGAATTATTTTGTATTATAACATATAAATACACACTCGCACACATAGCTATCCGCAAATACAAATGTGTGTATGTGTTTGTTATTCAATATATTTGAAATAATAAGTGTGCAGATATTGAAATTAATTACACAACAGAATATTCTAAAAAAACACACACGCACACAGAAATTACAGTTGTATTATTTTCATTTACTTTAGGAATGTGAAACAAAGCTTTAAATAAATATTGTGTTTTACCAAACTTGGCTTTTATGTGCAACAACCGAACCGAACGAACAAACAGTACAGCCGCAAATATAAATACATACTATGATCGACATAAATATATATGCATATCCGTATGCATATAGTACGTTAAATATGTATATAATATAGGCTTCCGCGGCACACGACCGTACGGACGAGCTGTGGATTCTCTTTTACAGTTTATTAACATTCCAATCTGAACTGAGAATTAAATTTGGGATGGTATGGAGCACGTAACAGAATGTTAAAAGAGCGGTACATTTCTCCGTCGGGTTTCTTTATAAAAATACCATAAAATACTAAATCACGTGCATAACATGTGGATGCGCTGTTACCCTTTTGTGGGCAGTGTAGTGTTAGAAGGCAGTTATGTTAAACAATGTACTATTATTAGCAGTTGTTGTATACCTGTTTTGCAACACTTAAGCTCAGCAGTGCTCATACCAATAGTATCTGTATAGAGCATAGAGACGGTTGCGCGCTCATTAAAAATAATATGTGTGAAGCGACTCCATCGCTAACTTCGTGCCTGTATGGTATCGAGTTCGTGTACTGTATTTCAGGCGAACTGCACGAAATGTAAATTGAATGTAAAGCAAAAATTAGGACAACTCAGCAAACGTGAGAAATAACATGCACTGAATGCCTGTGGCAAAATTTGTTTTTATTCATACTAATGATTGGTATGACTGTAGTTCCACAACACTAGCTTTGCGGTAGGTCGGTACTGAGTCAAGCCGAAACCTGATCAATAAATTATTTTTTACGATGGTTTTCTACGAAAATATTGACTTAAGATAAAAAGGGAAACGCGAAACATATATTTATATATGTATATTAGTATATACTTATTAAAGTATTTTATATCTTTATATTCCACCTGCCTTGATCTAATAAAATATTTAATAGATCTCATATTGGATGGGATACCTTTTCAATATTCGATTTCGTTAAAATAGCTGATTTCGATCATTTTTTTAAATCGAATAAGAGGGTTGCCTCTACTATCAGGTCTTCGTGCCCTGCGTGCAATACAATCGAAACTAAACAGTATACGATATCGCATTGAAACTGCTAACCGTTCATACGAGTTTTGATTTGTTTGCATCTTTCCTATTTAATAAACTAATTGAAGAATATATAGAGAGTAATGTTATTGATACCTGCATGACGAAACCTTAATTTTAAATCGCATTTCTTGGACAATTTAGCTTTAATAAAATGTGTTGATAACAATATCGAAATAGACGTCTCATGTGTCATCTCGAAGTGAGCATCGTCGTCAAACGGTGCGTGCGTGTATGTGTGCGTAAATTATAAAAATAAAATATAATTTGTTATTAAACTAATATATCTTCGTATTTTAGAAGTGCATTAACTAACAATTATATTCATACAATTCAAATATTTGTGAGACTATCTAACGTTTTTGTATGTATATGTGTGTATGTATGCATATATGAACAGTAACGTTTGTCAGCATAAAAGTTCTTAATGCATTTACAATGCGAACACTAGTTTCTTGAGCTTTAAAAATATCAAATGATATATTTAAGTAACATAATTACCAACGGCGATTGCCGAGTAAATTACATAAACGTGTTGGGCAGATTGAATTGAACATACAAAGCCCCATACACATATGTACATACATAAGATATGCATGTGTGCATGTACAGCGTTCAAGGTTTTTGCAAGAGTAGTTCAATGAAAAGTTTACATGTACTTCTCTGTGTGAATGTGTGTGTATACAGGCAATAAGTGTACATTACCATATTGATATTGTTACGTATGTGTGTGTGCGTGCGTGTGTGTACCGTCAATTAAACACAGTAAATTAATATTTTTACAATTAAAGATATGTACATTTAAAATGTTTAAAAAATATGAGATTTCGATTTTCATTGCTCTAACTACTTTTCAATTATGTTTGTACATTTTTTTAGTTGGAGGAGTGCAGAGCTTTGCTCCGGCTAACACGTTAAGTAAACATTGCTAGTAGGCGTGGGATAAGAGGATAAACGGATAAGAAGGAGAGGCACCAGCGAACCGGATTAGCGGATAAACGGAGCTCCAATTAAGCGCCAAAGCTCAACACAAAACGTTATTTTCGAAAGTATTTCGTAATGTCTGATCTTGGAAGTGGAGAGGAAGGCATCTCAGGATCAAGTAAGTCATTCAAAATTAATTCTGGCAGCTGTTGAACGTACGTACTGTTATCTTCGGCACGCCGAATATTAAATACCCTTGTTGACATACCATTTGGCGCAGATTTCCTAAACAAGGTAGTTTTGGTCAAGATATCTTGCAACACAGACAAGTTTTCATTATTATTATCATCATCTTTAATCTAAAGGTTAATATCTCCAAAAGTACCTCCTCCAATAAAGGTGAGCAGGTCTCTTCACCTTGGAGCTTATTGTGCAGGAAATATAATAAGGTGCCTCAATGGATGAGTATCGAGTTTGCCTGTATTGACTTTGTACCATTTTTAGAAGGCATCAGTGATCGCCTTCTGGAACTTTTATAAGGACCAACGTCTAGACACGATTTGTGGACCGCGCCAAGAGCTCTCTGCATCAACTTTTACTGGGGACCGCAGGAGGGGAGATACGATTCTCTCATGTTGGCAAGTCTCAACCGCCCTGAAGCAGACTGGGTCTGCGTCTGGTTCCATTTAATTTCTTTGCGGAAAAGAGCCCGTCGAATCAAATCATATCCAATATTATTAAAGGTCTATATTAAGGAAGGAGGACAGGCCAATTTCCATAGCCAGGATTGATCCTCAGTCGTCTTGCCTTTGATATTGGCGAATTGTGCCTGATCAAAGGATCTAATAGCCCACTTAACATAGTCATGATCAAAGATAACAGCCGATAAACTCACCTGTTCGACCCCACTAAAAGCCACTGAATCTTTAGCTTTTGCTCAAGAGAGTTTACTTACGAGAGGAGCTTTGTATAACCTCGGGGACTGGGTCAAATCTTATCCGATATCTACGAAGTTTGGCTCTTTGGCAAGGCCGGGCTATACCCGCTAGTTCTTATATAGATGTATATTCATATTATCATTTTCGCATAAGGGATGGATAATCAAAAAAAAAAAATTGCTAAAAAAGTAGATCTTTGAAAATTAAATACATTCAATCATGTTCTTTTATTTTCAGAGTATAATGCAAGCAATATGGAAGGTTCTTCAAGCAGAAATGATTTTGACTCGTCCGGCAAAGGTATGTTATAAAAAAAAGTTTTATCATTAATAAAAATGTTGCATTCATTGGTTTTCAAGGAAAATGGTTTCTTATATATGTAAAAATTTAAATAATGACACCAAATGTCTTTTAATTGTAATTGTTAATTGTATGTAACAGGTAGAATAAAGCATCTTCGACCGATTCGATTTAATAATAGTAAAAGGCTGGAAAATTACTAGACCTATCTTCGATAATCGATAACTTACCGTGAAGCAACTGATAAAATCGATATCGAAATCCTGATTTTTGAAAAAATCCCTTGGGCCTTAAGAGCTAGAGCCCCCAATTTACATGTAACTTGTAGAATATAGAATATCCAAAACTTCGCTTATAGCCCCATATATAGTAATCATTCAAAGTCATTGATAAATTGAAATATTGTATGCAACATTTATTTACCAAGCGAATATCGTGAAATTTCATTGTTAACGTATTTAAATTCTTATATTTTTGCAGCCGTCAGTGCAGTTGAGCAGGAGCTGGCATCAAAAATGCTCCAAATTCAATCAAAACGATTTTATTTGGATGTAAAGCAAAATCGTCGTGGACGCTTCATAAAGGTGGCCGAGGTAAATATACCAAGCAAAAGCATTCCATTATTAACATTTATCATAGGCTTTAGTTATTTCCTAGAATATAAATCTGGGCTACTTTTAAAGATCAGTTTACGCAGCCTTTTTCTAGAACACTTTCGAATGAAATATCTACAATTTCTGTTAACATTAGGGTTCGACCTATCTGTTTATAATTCAACTTTGCAAAGATGTGGGAATCAATTGATTTTTATCTTAAATTGGTTTAGAAAGGTAAGATGTGTGTTACACACTTTTTGGAAAATCTACCTCAACTCGGTAGAAAATATAGGTCAACGGGAAAGAAAAGTCCGTGTGGATTCAAACTGGGTGGCAAAATATTATCTAAGATTTTACCTGAAACGGCGAGGCCAAGAAATAACAGATGTTGAATTGATTGTGATCAGGATTAATTTTCTTATAGAACTGATAGAACGTTCCGAGACCTAAGGAATATATGAGACCAAGTCAATATATGATTCCTAGATACCAATACTTACAATTTCCATTCCATTTACCACGTTGACATCCGTCGATAAATTAAGTGGCTTGTGGCAACAATATTAATTTTCATTATTTCAGATTGGCGCAGACGGCAGACGAAGTCAAATATATTTAGCGCTGTCGACGGCAGCCGAGTTCCGTGACCACTTGTCGTCATTTAGTGACTACTATGCTTCTCTAGGTAGGCTATGTTCTGTCTTTTTAGTGAATTGTTTATGACCTAAAAATCAAATAAGTTCATCAAAATGTAGGGCCTCCGCACACGGAGAGTTTGCCAGAGGATGGCAAGTTGAAATCAGAGATGATGATAAAGGACAATAGGAGGTATTATTTGGACTTGAAGGAAAATGCTCGCGGAAGGTTCCTTAGGGTAAATATCCAATATATATATTAAATATGTCAATATTTTTTTTATGTTTATTTATCAAAGGATTGTTATCTGACGATCCAAGCCATGTGAAATATTTTTGTAAATGGTTTTGGTTCGAAGTTCGAACCTTAAGACTGTCATATATTTTAATTGAAATAATCGAGTTTTTCAATTATGATTACCGGGCTAAATTCGATCTCCAACCCAATGGTTTGCTTATTGGCTGGTGGCTTACAGTCTGAGTCTCCATGAATATATTTTTAATATTAATTTAACCATTTTTTTAAAATTGTGTTGTTTTTAGGTTTTGGCTCAGCTGTTTTCTGGGTTACTAGTTCGGTTTAAAGTTAGGTTAATAAGTATAAAAAAATAAATTGGATAATAATTATATTTTCTGAAACTGTCCTTAATATAGCTCTGATCTCATAAACTAAATACGTGACTGATTATCATCAATTGATCAATCAATAAAGACTAAAATATCTCCTCATCGGATACTCCCGACTAGATCACTAATTTTTGTGTTTTGTTCGTTATTTTATTACCTTTTAATTGATCAATCAATTGACGGTATTTCAAGGCATTGTTCTATTGAAATACTTTCACTTGTTTTCATTTGCATTTACTAAAACATTTACAATTTCAGGTTTCCCAAACAATAACAAGAGGTGGGCCCAGATCTCAAATTGCGCTGCCGGCCCAAGGCATGATTGAATTTAGAGATGCGCTGACTGATCTTTTGGAAGAGTTTGGAGCCAATGATGGGGGGTAAAGTATATTAATCAATCAATCATTGTAAGGTTTTAAAATAACTTCATGTGAAAACATGCATAAAATCTAAGCAAACTTTATTCAATAGGGAATTTTTAAAAATTACGCATATAGCCTTAAAAGATCTGTACAAAAATATTAATTTAAGATGTGTTTTTTGTTTCAATTCCTAAATTTCAGTTTTAAAGGCGATTTGCCGGAAGAGCGTCATATGAAAGTCGATAACAAAAACTTTTACTTTGACATTGGTCAAAATAATCGTGGAGTTTATATGCGAATAAGTGAGGTACGATTACTTTAAAAAATTTGAATCGATCAATATAGATTCAGTAGTATTCTTGTAATTTTAACTCAATTTCAGGTAAAAAATAACTTTCGCACTTCTATAACTATACCTGAAAAGTGCTGGCTACGATTTCGTGATATATTTAATGATTATTGCGACAAAATGAAGAAATCGCCCGATTCAATCACTGCCGATAATATTGTACCGACATCTACAAATAGTCTTAAATAAATAGCAAGAACACCAGAACTTAGTAGTTATCAAAGATGCACACACTGCTAAATACAAATATAAAGCTTTTTAAAATTTCTGCGTTCAAGCCTTGGAATCAAACAACTGAGCCGCTGACAGAGGCCGCGGGAACGAGGCTTCAAATGTTTGTTGTTCCCCCAATAAAAAACAAAAAAAAAATCAACATTGTGCGACGATATGTAAATAGCTTTATGTATTATGCCAGCTGCTAAAATGATATGTGATTATTTTTGTTAAATATCGTTTCTTGATAGAGAAAATCGAAAAGCTTTTAAATTAATGTAATGTATCTACTTATATGTATTTATATTCAATTATATAAAAGTAGCATTTAGAAGATTCATCTGTATATTAGTATACTTTTTTAACTATTATATTAATTTAATTAAATACATAACAAATAGGGCTTCATAAGTCGATCTACCAATACGCAACACAATGTTTGGTCACGCGAGAAAACAATATGCTTTAAAATTTAAACAATTAACCAATACGCAATATTGCATCAATTAGAGATATATCTTTCATTAGGGATGTCTTTATTTAATAAATCTTGTAACTTTTGTTGTACAGCCTTTTCCCCGCCACCATTGTGGTCAAATTACCTTTGATTTATAGTTAAATAACCAATTGTGGATATAGAAAATATTAAAATATTTAATATGTATGTAAGAAACATACATGTATGGATGTATGCATATATTAAATTCTGTTATATATGGCTCAGTACCTTTGATAATACAAACAAATAGCGAGAATACTACCTTCATGATTCACATGAGTGTTCTGTATTTAGATAATATTTTTATTACATACTCTGTGAATATTGTGACCAATTTGTGCAATACATCATCATCAAATCAGTTGAAACTATCAGCTTTATATTTTGAATATATACTGTTTTGGGATCTGGTATCCATGGTGCAATTTTCTCAAAAATTAAATTCCCTTGACTGTTTAATAATTTTACGGCCATCATTAATTGGATGTCCATTCGTAGGATAAATACCGCCTGTTGCGAAACATGGCACCCACAGCAATCGGTTACTCGTTAAACTAATTTGTAGAAAAGAACACTCGAGCACGTACTTGTGTTTGGTAGATTGAATAGATCTATTAAGTGTGTAAATTTCGTCATAGTATATATCCAGTTGGCGTAACTTAAAATGTCATCGCAAATATGAATGTTACAAAATTGTTAAAGCTTTTAGGAATACGTTATGAATTACAAAATGTCTTTAACTAATTACTAAAACGTTTATAAAACAAAAGTTTCAATGTGATCACGTAGAATAAAAACTTATTAGGTACGAATACAAATGCATAGCAAAATAAATAGAATCCATAGTATGTGTGTATGTATATTAATTTAAACACTTATGTATACGCACACATGCCTATGTCTATGTATTAAAAACAACAACAATTATATGAATAATTATATGAAATGCAAACTAGTGTTATATTAATAGTATCAAATTTCAGCCTATTAAATGGATAAACTATATAATATTTATTATTGATGAATGACAACAAATACGCAATACATAATGCACTTCTACAATATGTATATGTGTGGGTCACAAAAAAACCCTTTAATGTACATACATATATAGATAAGTCCACGAATGCGAATTTGTTTGCGAATCTCCAGGCATCCACAGATTCGCTTATCGATGGACTTATTTTGTTAAACTCCATGTTGAGTAGGAGCCTTCGGAGCAGCCCATAATACATACAAGTATATTCATTTGCTAAGCTAATGCACACAGATAAACAACAACAATGATTAACAGAACAGATTACCATATGTGACAAAAACGGTTATTTATAATACAGTGAATTTATCTTTGATGTTGTTTGGCATTACAATTTTAAGAATTTTGTGAATGAAGAAATAAAAATAAAGTTGAATAAAACAAAAGCTCTAATGCAATACTACAAAAATGTAAACCTGCTTGATTCATTTAGTAGACATTATTCATATTGATTTGAGTCTTAAGAAATATGAAAGAGTTCAAATGGCAAAAAGATCTTGGACATTACACAATGTGGAATCAATCGTGCGTAATGAACATAAGTGCGGACCAAAAACTGCGTAGTAGATGGCTCTCAGTCTATCCGCACTCTGGATTCGGACCAGGTGCCATCTTGACCGACCATAGCTTACAGCTATGCTCATAAACAAGCGGGTACCAGAAATTTTAGTTAAAACTTTTCACTCATTTCCCGCCCGTTAACAATTTATATCATATCCTTACTATCTTGAACTCCACGTATTTATTATATTTTAAAGATATTAGAGAATAAGGTGCAAACAAGTCCAAAGTGTGGACGGAGTCATCTGAGAGCTGACAGTAGCCATCCCAGATGGCGAGATGCCGAGACGGCGGCGTAACTAATCCGGAAACGTGGGACCTGGCAGACGTGCATTAAAAATTATGGCCTGGAAAAGACTCACATCATGGAAAACATCGATGAGATCCCGACCCCATGGTGCATTTCTTCTTGATCAGGATGACGAGCTAAGTCGATTTAGCCACGTTCGACCGTCCGTCTAAGTAAAGCTGCAGAATGTTCGAAAACTGCAAAAGCTACAGAAGAACATATTTCAAAAACATCTTCTGGTATATATATAGAATATTTTGAATATTCACAAGGACTCTGGAGCGTAACAGCCTTTAATTCAATATTCCCAACCAGGTTTTATGCTAAATATTTAATATTTTTTTAATAAAAATAATTTTCGAATTATTGGAAGAGCTATGGGTGTATAGCTAAGTTTGCATTGGCTCTAAAATTGTTGGTGTTTAAATGGCTGTATTGCCTTTATATTTCCATTGTAAGCTTCATAATTTTGATGTTTGTACAATTAAAACAATCTATCGATCGATTTCACCAAATACAACATCCAGGGTGCCGATTATGGCAACTACATCGGCCAACATGTGCTGCTTGCCAATTTTTTCTAGCGCTGCCAAATGAGCGAATCCTGGCGCTTTGATTTTGCAGCGGTAGGGACGACTGGAACCATCTGATATCAAATAAACTCCAAACTCGCCCTTTGGCGCCTCGATTGCCGTATAGGTAGCACCGGGTGGCACTGGATAGCCTTGCGAAAAGAGTTTGAAATGGTGTATGAGCGCTTCCATGGAGGTTTTCATTTCGGAGCGGGTCGGTGTCGTCACCTTTGCGTCGTCTGTTTTGATTTCACCAGCTGGCATTTGGTTTAAGCACTGATCGATGATGCGCAAAGACTGACGCATTTCCTCGATGCGGCACAGGTACCGGTCATAACAGTCGCCTTTGGTACCAATCGGCACATCGAAGTCGACCAGATGGTATGCGTCGTAGGGCTGTTGCTTTCGCAAGTCCCATTTGATTCCAGAGCCTCGCAACATGACACCACTGAATCCATAGTTAAGGGCCTCCTCGGCAGACACAATGCCAATATCTTCGGTGCGTTGCACCCAGATTCGGTTTGTGCTGAGCACATCCTCAACTTCATCCAATCGCTCGGCGAACTTTGATGCAAACTCGTAAATGTCATCCATCAGACCCAGTGGCATATCCTGCAAAAAAGTTATGTTAACTTTGTTTTCTTCATATTTATCCATGTAAATAGGTTACCAGTGAGACACCGCCGGGTCTAATGTAGGCAGCGTGCATACGCGCTCCTGAAACACGTTCGTAGAATTCCATCATTTTCTCACGTTCCTCGAAGAGCCAGAAGAAGGGAGTCAGTGCGCCCACATCTAGAGCATGCGTGCCCACAGCCATTATGTGGTTGAGGATGCGCGTTATTTCAGCGAAAAGAGCTGGAAACAAATCATACGATTTTGCCTTTAGTTGGAACTATGAGAGGACTCAATTTAGCACCTACTTCGTATATACTTGGCACGCAGCGGCACATCGATGTTGAGTAATTTCTCCACGGCCAGCGAGTAGCACTGTTCGTTGCACATCATCGAAACATAATCCAAACGATCGAAGTACGGCAGAGCCTGCGTGTAGGTCTTGTATTCAATTAGTTTCTCAGTGCCACGGTGCAATAGGCCAATGTGTGGGTCGGCGCGCATTACCGTCTGAAAGCAAAAGCATGCTCTATCATTAAAATATAAATTAAGGAGTATAAGTATTAACCTCGCCATCGAGTTCAAGTACTAGTCGAAGCACGCCATGAGCAGCCGGATGCTGGGGTCCAAAATTCAGCGTCAAGTTGCGCACAGACTTTTCAACGGGGACCATTTTGCCTTTTGCGGAAAATTAAGCATAAAATCATTAAACTTTTTTAATAAATATCTTTGAAAGCATACTGTTCCATGGCGGCACCTTCCACAGCGAGGTTACTTCATCGGGATACATGACCGGACCACTGAATTGCTTCATGAATTCGGGATCTGGATACCATTTTGCTGCACCGCGATGCTGATTCGAGCTATCGAATATATATGTATTGTATTGGTAATTATTTATATATATTTTAATATGTGTTGGTAATTTTTTCTATTTACAATCATTTTGCTACAATGGTTCCTGTGGAAATATGATTATGTAAGTATCCGCGTAGCTTGATTGTTTACCTCAAGATGCTGCCAGCGGCCGGTGCAATAGACGATTGGGTTTTAAGCAGCTGCGCCCCTACGACCAGCGAGCGCCTAAAGCCCTGGGAAATCATTTTTAATTTCAAAATAGTTTATTGGACTTTTTACGCAAACAGTATGGTCAAACCAATGGATGGTCAAACAGCTGTTGTGTTGTGTATGTGCGGCGCTGGTGCAACCGATACCTATCGATATACTTGCAGTCACTACCTCAGTTTCTAGACATGGTTTGCGATGTGAATCATGAATGTATCGATTTGCAGAATCGAGTGGTATTAGATTTACGCGATGTATGTATCGATATATATACAGCGGGCTATATCGATATTTGAATACAAAAGAAAAGCATCGAGTCTGGGAGCTTCAATCTCCGAGCGATTGAATTAAGAGAAGAAAATGTAGAGCTGCGAAAATCAAATAAATTAACATGGCAATTGAAACAACACAATAATTGTAAGGGAACCGAAAGCTCTTAATGTCTTAATGTCTTAATGGGCGTAAGATTTACTGCAGAAAATCATACCGAAATCGGTTAAGTAACGCTATTGATAAGGTCGTAAAGCGATATAGCAAGTGGTCAGCACTTCGTTTAAAAACACTAAAAAAAATACTGTCATATAACTGATTAAATAGTTTAGTAAGTATAAATACAGTTTGTCAATATTTTTGCAATAATGAATTAAAGTATATTGTTTAAGAGTTTATTGACAAGGGGAGTTTTGCGAAATGCAGTAAATTTACTCGTTTCATTTGTGAACAACACAAAAAAATGTCACACCTTTTATTCGTGACTTGCAAATACTTTTGTAACTGTAAACTACTTTTAAAAAAATACGTTTTAGATACAGATACAATTTTCAGATACTGCCACACTGTCAGTACCGTATTATTTTTTTTACATCTAACACAGCTCTTTAAATGCTGCATAATATTATTTACATACGAATCTATTTAAATTAAATTTAAAATGTTGTGAATACGGATACGGCAACTCAACACACACCAATGGAAGATAATGGGAAAAATGTGATTAGTTGAAAAGTAAAATAAAATGCAAAAATGTATACATAAAAACTGGCATTGTGTCTGTTGTGCGTGTGCGTGTATAGAGGTTATTATGCATTTATAATGACCAGCAAATGCCAAATTGGTTAATTTCTAGACATTCGGGAATACTAATACGGGCCCTGTATCCTTCGCAAAATTTCAAGAGCTTGAATTAATAAATTTTCTCACGTTTTTATTCATAAAAAGTGCTCACTTATTGTATCGGGTTTGTGTATGTATACAGAAAAGTGTCGAATTCAATGTTTATGTATTTGAGTCTCCTGCGAGAGAGCGAGTGAGGGAGCGACAGAGAGAGAAATAGAGTGGGAGAGAGGGAGAAAACTCTTGATTTTAGTGCAACAATATTATTTGTCTTGCCAAAACAAGCCATATAAAATTCGAATTCAAGAATGGCTCTTAAAACAGTTTTTTTGCCATCCGAAATTACATATTATACATACATACATACGTATGTAAACGCAAATGTACGTATCTATAAGTAGGTTGCAAAAGACTGCTGTTCATATTAAGGGAAAAATTAATTATTTTTTATATATTATACTAGAAATTCAGGATCTGCAAATGACGGGGCAGATGTCGTACGATTTCGTTGCGTATTATAACATGGGCAAATATACATATATATGTATATAATTTAGCCTGTATACATCTCGAAATCGGCGACATTTACGATACGATGAGTGAAATACAAGGAGCATATGATGTACATACATATAACACACATACGCCGAAATATGTGTATGTGCAAAAATGTACACAGCCTTAATTTACATCACTCTTAAGCCCCGACGTACGCATACTCATTTTTTCTTTATACAATTTAATAAAGTAAATCATTTTACCAAGTAGACAAGTAAGTTAACTTATAAATTACCTTTCTAGGCTATTTCGTGTATTTAAATTTGATTAGATAATTTGATTTGATTTGATCCATGGATAACATAGCCGCAAGAGCTACGAACAAGAACTTATATGCTTTAAATATATATGTAAAAATTAATTAAATATGTGTCTTACCACTTTTGTAAAATCAATCGCGAATTTGTCAAGTTTTTTTTCGGTCCCTTGTACAACTGAATATAACTGAAAGGAGAAGTCATCTCCGATCATCTCTCATCATTCTTATATTCTCATAATCTCTCATTACTCTCGTTATGTCTCATCATTCTCATTATCTCTCATCATTCTTATCATAATTTTTTTTCTTGATAACTTCTGTTCTTTCAATAGGGGCATCCTTTTTCTGTTGACATACAGACTCTT